TCTCATAGTTGAGGTATACCTATGATGAAAATTACAGGCCTCTCTCATCTTTTTAAGTGGGAGAACTTGCACAATTGGTGGCTGACTAAATACTTTTTTTGCCCCACTGTATGTGTGTACATATGGTAAGGGGGCTGTTGGGAAGAAGATGTACCATCCTTTCATGGGGTTAACACCTGAGTGTAGAATTAATACACAATTTTTAAGGATTACATTGACTGAATACTGAATTGCATAAGAGGCAGGTTGTGGGGAATTGTAACGATCAAAAGTTCTAAAGGGGAAAATATTAAACAATACTGTACAAAGTCAACATTTACAGATGCAATCTGTATTATCTGCAGCCTGCAGGCTAACCTCCCTCCCTCTCTCTGCAGAGAGCCAGTGCCAAACTAAATGTGCAGATTGATTTCTTCAGAGCGAGCTATCCCTATTGTGTACCTCTGTTGTGACTTGCCCTATTTAAAAGTTTGCTGCCTTCGCCACTTGTAACACTTCATTGCAGCATAGCTGGTGTTCTGTGTTCCAAGGAACTGGCTGTGTGGGGCCCAATAATTCACTTACTTAGGTCCCAACAGTAAGAGCAAAGAGGCTGCAACACGCTCTACATTTTGCTGGGGCTAATTAGATTCTTTCAGGGAGGAAAGCAGGTGGAATTCTAGTTTTGTTTTGGTTTTCACACTTATGAATGGCCTCTCTGAAAATACTCTTTAAAAAGGATTGAATAAATGGCAACAATGAAACCAACATTAAAAACTAAGTATTGAGACCTTAAAAATAAAATGTATTTATTTGTATTTCAAATTTGTCACTGCATCTCACTGCAGATATGATAACTTATGATAACTTAAGAACAACCTCTTTTGTTTTTCAATATTCAGTCAATGCCACATGCAAATATGGGTTCCAGTCGAGCTAAAGGTAATTATAGAGACAAAGTCTTTGAAATAAATAGAATATTGTAGTTGCAACTAATAATTGTCCAGTTATATTCAGTGAGACTTTGCTGCAATATTATTATTCCCAAGGTTAGTCTGCGTTTTAAAAATTCCAAACAGTAAGATACTACTTTAAAGTAACATTCTTAGCCTCATAATAAAGCAGCAGCAAATAAAAGCATGCATCATAAAGTACACAGGGAGCTCTCTTTTCTTCACAGAGTTCTGTCTCCTGAAAGTCAAATGCAGAATTGTACGTAACACAGACTTAAAAACAGTTCCAACTTTTCACTGTGGGTAATCAAAGTGCCAGGAAAAGCAACACTGTACAGCCTGGTTTCATCTATTTAAAGAGATACACACTGCACTGTAGAGGACAGTGTACTGGAATTAGGGTGGACAAACCCAAGCAATGGGGTGCTCAAAACTAGCCATCTCACAATATTGTTGTGACAGCATGTAAGCCACCATCCTTAGAGAATAAGTCTAAAAAGTTTCATAAGAATATGTTCCTTGGAGAATAAGTGGGATCCAAGTGTGGGTGAATATATAGAGCAGCTTTACAGCAAAATCAGACTCAGTGTCAAATCTCTGAGGCTTCTTAGAGGAGTTCTCTAGGCTGAGATTGTTTAAGAAAAGTTAACTCAATGGGGATTAATCCTGGAGTCTAACACAAGCAAAACACATGGGTTCCCTCTCTGCCTATCCCAATAATTGGGAATGCATTACTGTTATCATCTGGGCAAAGGACAGTCTGGCTCACATGCTCTTGTTGGTAGAACAACAACTGCAGAAATTTTGTGCTTTTCCTAAAGAAGGAAAGGCTCATCTGTGATCCTCCTGGTAGCTTAGCACCCTTCTACTGTCACCTTCATCAGAGTTGCCAGATGCTGTCCTTTAGCAGAGACAATACAAAGCAGGTGAGGGAAACAACTCAACTACCTCCCCTTCCCCCCCCCCAACCAGGAACAAGGAGCATGTCCTCCAGTGGATTTCACAGAATATTTTTCAAATATTGAAATTAAAATAACAGCAATAAGCACAGTTAATATGTATTGCATTCTTGTAACTCTTTCAGAAATGTAATTTAGGGGCCAATGCTTTCCATCCTCCCCAAATGCATTTTATTCCATACATCTATATCTAGGTTTCCCTATTCTTCAATTTGCTGAGTTTTTTTGGGGGGGGAGGGGGAATTGATTCAATACAAAGATGATCCCCACACACGTTTTCTCAATATATATCTCATCCTTTTAACCTGTCCTGATCTAAAGAGTTAGGGCAGAACGTGTAATTAAATAAATAACTTTTCTTTACTTTGTTTTTGCAGCCTGCACAACGTTAGGGTGCTTCAAATTCCGCTCCCAGGGTAGACTTCCGCACACCCACTGCAACATACAGTAGCCCAGGATTTCGAGGTCTCCTCTTCTGGATGGTGCTAAATTGGGAATTTGAAGGGGGAAAGAGAAATTATCACTGGGCTAGTTTCCCCACCACCACCACCACCACCTTTAAAAAAAATAAATAAATAAAAACTGTAGTCGCTTAATGCAAATAGTCCAGCAAACGAGGGAATCAGGCAGAATTATGCCGTGTTTTTTCAGCTGTCCCAAGAACTCCAAATGGCCTGCTTTTGGCTGCAGTCCACAGACAGGCAACGATTTGTTGCTCCTGGGGAGGGGCAGCTTCCTCACCTCCTCCATCCCTTCGCTTGCCCTGTCACATGAACTTGATCCCCATGGCCTCTGACATGATCCAGACAGCCCATAACCCGGCACCAACACTTTCTCCAAGAGCCAGGCAGTAAAACAAAGAAATAAATGTCTGCTCCTAAATTGCTAACACATGTTCCAGGAAGTCCATGGGGTCCACATTGGTCATGCCGAGACCCTTCAAGAGCAGACTAAACAGTGATGGCCTTTCCTGCTCCACTAAGCCAGAGCTGCCTGATGGCCGATAGCATGACAACAGTGCCCTCTAGTGGGTTTACGACTTCAGCAGCAACATCTGCACAAAGAGACAGGAATATAGCTTGAAATCATAAACCCCTTGGCTCTTTTTGACTGAAGCTGTTCATCCAATTTAAATCTAGCTTTATTTCCAAACTATTACAAGCAAACCATTCAAGGTATGTAGCATGTAGTAGCACAGCTGACATAAGTGACAAGCTGTCTTAAAGGTATGTAAGTTTCTCATTGGCTCTTTCTAGTAACATACATCTAAACATTTTATTAAAGATAGATAAACTAAAAATCAAGCAGATATTAGTTAGACTCATGAGCTAGGGTTGCAAGAGAAGGAACACACACACACACCAGGGTGTAGCAATCTTTTTTTCTAAGATTTTCTAAACAAAAAACAAAATTCTGTACTTACATATATTCAAAACATGTTCTTGAATTTGCAATAACAAATGGGGGGAGGATAATTAGCACTACAGAAATCAGAAAATCCATGCCTGGTAGAGATGACAGGATTTATAATTCAGGTTATCTGGAAGCCACTAGATGGGGAAAACCTGTTCTTTCCAACTCGATCGGCATTCTGTAGTAGGAATCTTCAGAGTTTAGATTCAGGAAGGGATGGAAGAGGCTGCAGAAGACTGATGACCCACAGAGGATGTGCCCATTGTTGACCCAACAATTTCTGTATTATGAACTTTCATTACAGAAATTTCTAGAGAGGCCCCTGAACACAATATTTAATTATAAAAGGTGACTTCTTGAAAGCCTAGTTCTAATAGAACTCAATCCATTACCCCCCACACATGCACAGCTCTCTCTGTTATGATGAAAGCACATAAATTCTTACATGTTCTCTCTATATTAACTGCTGCTCGACTACTGGATTATGAAAGACCCTTCAATCTAGCAGGATGCCATCTTATTGTCTTGAGGGTCATTTTTATCCTAAGCTAGCTTTCATTCTGTCCAAATCCAAAAGCATTGTTTCTGGTATTAAAACAAGCAAAATCAACCTTCAACATATACCATTCCTCTGTAGTTTTTTAGCTGAATTCCAATAGTGAAAATTTGACAAATTATTCCCATTCATGCCTACAAGTGCTAACACAATCACTTCACAGTTCTCAAAATATTAATCAAAAACACACTGCAGACATGGAGAAATTGTAGCTAATCTCCTAGAGAAGAGTTGTCAGAATTATGGAAATTGTACTTCTCATCTATCATCAAAGGAAAGTGTCATATTATATTTAGTCCAGAGTAAATGTCCAGTTGTTTAGTCTTCTGTAGCTTCAAAAAGTGAAACATTAGAGTGTCTAATTTGTCCAGTTCTGTAGATAGGCAGCAATACCAAAAGTATTTTTGATTTTCCAAATTTTAGATCTACAAGCCTATTTTTCTTCACTACTTTTATATTTATGTTAACCTACACAGTCACAATGTTTTGGAAATTAGCACATTTTCTAAATTCTCTGGTCTCCAGGAAAAAGAAAAAGGTTTGCTATTTCCTGTATTCAGTCCAACTCTGGTAAGATATACATACTAAAAATGAGTACTGTTAAAGATAAGGAACAGGAAGACTTTATTAAGCTGATTTAATATCAAATAGAAAGTTAGAGTGCACAGAATTTGTGTTGTCAGTTTGTTACCTTGAATTAAGTTTCTCTCCTCTTCATGGAAAAACAAAAAGTTTCATTTCTAAGCATATTATGTACCATATTATTGCATAATTATATGCAAAGGTGATTGCACTGTTCTTATCCTGCTTTTCTTCATATTGTGAGACTAAAATATTCTTTAATGGAAACACTGACAAATAACCATCATGCTGATATTGGAAAAAAGACCAGTAAAACATGCAGTCACAGAATTACTGGAGTTCCCCATTTTTACTTTAAGAAAAGATAAATCTGTGTATGTAAGAGGAGAAAATAACATGTTACATCCATTTTTAAGATGTCATAAACAAAGTGACAATTTGGATAATTTCATGTCTGAAAAACCTAATGTTCCTCTCTATAATCTAACACTTTTGTAAGCCTATATTTTGCTAACAAGAAGCCAACTTTCATTTAGAATCAGGTTATAGTCATTTTCTGTAGGCAAATAGGCTTCCTCAACTGGAACTATGAAAAATAGATACTGTATTTTTAAAAGACCAATAGTTTTTTCCCAAATAATTTAGTTTTAAAATGGGTCATCTTAAAAGTGCAGGATGTATAATATTTTTATCTATTTAACTTTTCCTTTGGGGAGTGGTCTTAAATTCAGAGTGGTCTTGTTTTCATGAATAATTTGACTAAGCCAAATAAGTATTTTTGTGTGGTAGTTGTTTAATAGCATAGATGGTACATTTTAAATTTCTACACTTTATAACTCACTTTTACCTTTTTCACAAAAAAAGTACCACAATAACTGTTTTACAGAAGTGTAACTATTGCAGCTGAACCAATTCTGTTGCAATTCTAAGTTCCTTAGAGCAGTGTTTCTCAACCTTGGCAACTTTAAGATGTGCGAACACATCCACACATCTTAAAGTTGCCAAGGTTGAGAAACACTGCCTTAGAGGAATGTGATGGACAGCACAGAACAGCCAGCAATCAGCAGTGTAAAGAGGAGGACAGAATTTCAGGCACAAAGACTTGATGCCGAGCATTTCTCATTAACGAAAAGGGTTCCAAGAGAGGAGAGAGTACATATTGTGGTTAACAAATGTAAATGCAGATTTTGGTGCCAATGAATTTAGCATGCTGAGAATTTAGCTTTCAAGTTTCCAGTGCTTTGGTGTGTATAGGTTGTTTGGTAAAATTGTGGAAGTCAAAATTTGGTTCTGGAGTGATGCTTGGAAAGGAGCAAGTGTTCGGCGATAAAAGGTACCCCCCTCCCCCCATACACATGTATACTGCAGTCACTACCAAACCTATGAGATCCCCCCCCCCCCCCACAACCCTTTTTTACGGCCGTCACTACAAAACAATTGGACCCCCCCCCCCCCCGTTACATGTAAACTGCTTAAAGTGCCCTTCTGAAAATATTGACGCTGACTGGCCACAAGGGGAACAATCAGTGAGAAAGCTGGGGCCCAGTAAGCCAAATTGTTTCTATTCACTGACCATATAGAGATAGTAATGTCTAGCATGCTGACTTAGTAGGAAGGGATAAATAATAATAAGGTCACGCAGATGCGTTTATCAAACAATCCAATGTTATGCTGTAATTTACACTGTGTCTGCCCTTCTCTTTGTCTTGCTTTGTAATGTGGTAGACCACGGGTACATAAGCTCTGGTTCTGCCTCTGCTTAGGGCTGCCCAATGAGCTGCCAGCGCTTTGCTGGGAGTCTAATGTACACTGTATTGTTTGCATGCCTAATAAAATTACACTGTATCTTCAAAGTGCTTTGGTTGCTTTAGGTGAGCCAGGTTTTGGCCACAACAGCTGAAAGGGGGAAAGAAAGTAAAATTTCAGTGCCATGCACAAACACTAGCTGCTTTTTCATAATAATTTTCTGCAAGTTTCAAAAAGCAAACATGCTAAAGATGCTTTATGTATAAAAACTGTATTAAATTTACAGTTCCTCCTGCAGCAGGAGTCTTTATTCCTCCCCATCCAGAAACATGAAATACACAATGCTCAAGAGAAAGATGAGGTCTTACCACAGCACTGTGGAGCTGAATGGGCAACCCGTGAATGATCCAAGACTGCAAGGCAGTTCCCAAGTACCTAAAGAAAAAAGTGGGCTGGAAACTTCCAGCCACCGTTGCATTTAGCCTACTGCTAACAACCTTACAATGCCTGCAGCAGGAGTCCTTTCAATTTTGTCTTTCCATTGCATGGAACGAGGTGCAGCCTTGGGTAGGAGTGGAGAAAAGGAGCTTGGAAACAACTTCAAAATACACCAGCAATCCTTCTGATGACATTAGTCTATAAGCATTTTTCTACATGAACAAGGTCTGGCCAAGAAAGAGGAAGGACAGATCCTCTTTCTGTCCTTTCCTATTATAAATTCTTCAGGACCATGCCATGGTCTGTGACCAAGCAGATATTAGTTTCTTTCCAGAACTAGGGAAATAATTGTGATATAAAAAGTTGCTGATATTAAGTATGAAGCTTGTTTATTTGCAAGAAGCAATATGCAAAACATTTTACAATACATTTTTGAATGCCACACAATTATCCTTATGATCAGTAGAAATCAGTTCTGTATAGATATATTTGTTTTTAAAAAATCATAAAATACAATTATTTATTTTCAAATTACCTCTTGCTTACATGAGCAAAAGAGCAAATGACATAAAAATAAATAATTTAAAAGTACAGCAAAAGCCTAGCAAATACGCTTAAGATAAAAATAGTAAATAGAGTAATAGGAGGCATGCTTATTTTAGTAAGTCCTTGGCACTGAAAGCACATCAAACTTCTGATATCATTGCTAGAAAATCCTGCCTACGTTTTGCAGAGGGAGATTCAGAGAAG